GTACCTATATATACATATATGTATAAAACCGCTATTTTAACTAATGATACAAAAAGAATCATTTGAATTTCTATACCGATCTGTTCCGATTTTAAACAGAAAATCCAAATTTGAGATAAGGATTTCCTAATTCGTATCACAGTGCGATTTACCTACCTGTACAAATTGATTTCATGTACAAATGGATTTCCCATTTTATTTCCATATAATAATAATTCCATATAACAATTTTCATGAAATAAAAGAAATATGAATGTCTATATTTTTTGTTTCGATTTTAAACAGAAAACAAATTTGGATGAAAATAGATTTCTTAATTGATACCGCGGTGCGATTTATCTAATTGAGCATTCTCAATCAGAATCTAAGATGTATTTGAGAAAAGTTTGGGAAATTTCTTTGTTAGAAGAAGCGGGAACTTTGTTAGAAATACAATTTCGATTTTTGAGAAGTTTCAGAATGAAGTTTCCCAAAACTGATTCTAACAATAAATTATTATTTAATTGGATTAAGTCTACAAAAAAATTTGTTAATGATCATCCTGAAATATTAATTTCTAAAGCAGATAAGAGAAATGTCATCATTGCTCAAAATAAATTAGATTACATGTCCAAAATGGAATCAATGCTTTCAGACAGTAATACATATGAGATGATGATTAAAGATCCTACAAAAAACTTATTATTGATTTGCGTAACATGTTTAGAGAGAGAATAAGTGGAAAGAAAAAGAGATTTAAAGATGACTTGACATATCGGAGTATTGCGTACGATTGATAGTATTATTTCTAGAGCATACGGTTTAACGAAGATTCATAAACAAAATTATCATTGAATCATTATTTCATAAATATTTCTATAAATAGCTTATTATATAATTTACATTGTTTTTATATAATATTATTAACGATTCCATACCAGAGACTCCTAGTTTTATAATAGCTTTCATCTCATTAATAAATTAAAAAATGTCGAATTCGAACCAGATTCTAGGTTTTCCTTATATGATATCCTTATGTATTAATATACTTATAGATTTGGCATCTGATAGTGTTGTTAGAAGATGAGATTCCATATCTAGGAAAACAAAAATTCTTTAAATTTAATTTTTGATTGTCTTTCGGATGATCCTGAATTCCTGTTTTTATCTTCAATAAAAGAATATATAAACAATTATTTGGGACCCCTATTTGACTCTTATGAGGTCATTCTTGTCGCCATTCGTTATAGATATGATTATGCAGGATTCCGAAGAAATTGCGATTGGAATGCTGCCTATTCGATTGTTATTTTATTATTGATATATGGACGATATTATTTTGGTTGCTCCGTCAAAATGTTGATGATATCTTGGATATTTTTAATTCGTTACACATTAGACTGCAGTTTACTATGGAAGTTGGCATTGATAGAAAAATAAGTTTTTTGAATATCATGTTGATCATAGAGTCAACGAAGTTTTATTTTTGTCGTATATCATAAAGTAACTTTTTCCGGTAGATTTCTATTCACATCATTCACTTTATCACAAAAGAAGTGTAATTTATTTTATGGAGATGTAGATAAGATTTTTCGTTTGTGTTCGAAATTTTAACAAGATAATTTAATTGACGCTATTAATATTTTTTTAAATAATGAATATCCTCTACATTTTATTTTCTTGACTATTCATAATAGAATTAAATTTCATATCAACAATATTTATAGCTTGAATAATAAGAATAATAATAATAAGAATAATATAGAGAAATTTTTTACTATTCCATATGTGAATACAATATCAGAAAGATTTACATTTATTGTTAACATGTTTAATTGCAAATTGGCTTTTACCATCCTTAATACATTAAAAAAATTTCACAAAAAGAGGAAAGAATAAGCTGGAACATGTATATAATCAAAATGTAGTTTGCAGAATCTTGTGAGAATTGTGATGTCAGTTATGTTGGCCAGACTAAAAGACAGTTAAAGACTATATAGATTGCACGAACATGTTTCAGATATTAATACAAGTTCAAAATCTCCATCGGTGATTTCTAACTGTATGGAAGAAAATCATAACTTTAAATAGGATAAAATGGATTAGATATAGAATTAGAAATAGAATCTATTAGATATAGAATCTTCATATAATAAAAGATTAATAACTGAAACGGTATATATTAAAAAATAAAAACATGGAATAAACAGACAAAACGACACGGATCCTTTGCCCAAAAATTATTCTGATATCATATATTCTCTTTCTCTCTCCTAATATCTTTCTTCCTTTTTCCCTTTATTCATTTTCCGTTTTTAGTGAGTGTTTTTCCTTCTCTACTTTGTATTATCAGACATCGTGGAAGACAGATGTTCATTACTCTTGCAAATTTGCTTCAATTAATAACTAATAACTAATGTTTTCTATCACGATATGGATTATCATCTTCCTGCATTTTTTCTCTCTTTTTTTATTAATGGACTCTCAATACATTTACTAATATAATTGACAAGATACATTATTTTATTATATATTATTAATTATTA